TTAGTAGGGTACTTTTTAGTATTCAAAACTTCCTATTAATTATAGTGTGTCCTGTACCAGGATATTGTTGTTTCAAATATGTTAGCAGTCCACAATGTCGGGTTTTAGCTAAGTTTACACACTGAATCGCTGTGTATCATTTAATGTATTGGAATTTTTCTATTTATATTATAATATGATATTAATATAAATGAAATATATTTCTTAAAACCATTTATACTGCTAAATTTCCGTGCGTCCTCTCCCTTTACCTCTTTTTATAATAATTTTATCTGGAATTGGACGGTTATTTATCACAGTTTTGTGTTTATGTATGATAGCTACACAAGTTTCAATCAATATATTCAAGAGATTAATAGATATTAAAAAACATTTGTGATATGGTCCTTTTTATGCCGATTTTAACATTCGGTAGGTAACCTTTGTTTACAGTTGAAAATATGTAATGTGCAAATAGCTATTATGGATTTGTCGATTTAGCAGTATAACATATTTTATCGGAAAATTTGTACCCCATGTCTTTACTTTTTTTTCGCGGCGTTTTTGGTAAGTTTTATCTATCATATTCGATTGGTGCTTATAAAGGATGATATAAAATTGTTAATTTGTATTATTAATGTAATAATAGCTCAATAAACAAAAATTGAATATTATACATCACTTGTTTTATTTTAATAATGATTATGGGGTGTAAGGGACTAGGGTTAGGGGTTAGTCAACCATGATAAGAGCATAAAAGGATGTTAGCACCTCTTCTGCAGTCAATGGTGGTTGAAGAACTTTTAACATCAAAGGAGAACTTCATACTCTGAGACATGCACATGATCTAGTTAGTTATATTAAAGGTATACACGTAGAATTTCGTTGGAATGCCTACATCGAGATTTTCTCTATGGGACAGTTCAAAAATCCTTTATTTTTTAACTCCATTCAGAAAGCAGTAACTTTTATGCGATCCTGTATGTTATAATATTGCGATGTAAAAAACCTTGCTCTCATAGTTGCTAGTTACTTGAAGTTCTTATATATTTGTTTTACTGAATGTGCTTTATCATTTTTCTTGCTACTTGTCCTAAACGAAAACTGTTCCCACTTGTCCAGTTTTCGCTCTTTTTGTGTTGTTCCAATTTTCTTGCATAATTCCGATTTCAAGTTATGGTTTACACCAAGTTAAAATAGTGGGCGAGGCTGACTTAACGATTCAAAAATGCTTAATTTTTCTGAAATACATTTAATTCTGAAAGCAGTATTTTTTATGCGATCCTGTATAAGGTTATGATATTCATCATCATCAGTGGTGTTATAGCTCTAGTTGAGCCTTGACCTTCCCCAGTCTATTTCGCCAGTCGTTTCTGTTCATCGCCAACCGTTGCCAATTTGCCGCGCCGATTTTCCTTGCGTCCTCGTCCACACCGTCCCTCCATCTCAGTCGTGGTCTGCCTCTACTCCTATTTCCCACTGAGACCGATAATAGAGTTCGTCTGGGTGGGTAATTTTCATTTGCTCTTGACACATGTCCATCCCATCTAAGCCTACCTATTTTTATGAAGGATATTACATCTCTACCATTTACTATTTTTTTATACTTCTCGTACAATTCGAAATTATATCGCCTTCTCCAAATACCATTCTCACAGAATGCGCCCATTATTCTTCTTAGTATCTTCCTTTCGAAGACGAGCAGAAGATTTGCGTCTGTTTTGGAGATGGTCCATGTTTCTGACCCATATGTCAGTACTGGTAGGATGAGTGTTCGATATATTATTAGTTTGGTTTTCTGGCTTAAATTTCTGTTTTTTATCTGCTTGCTTAGTCCAAAATAACATTTGTTTGCTAGCAGTACCCTCCGTTTAACTTCTTCAGATGTGTCATTATCGTTTGTTATGAGAGAGCCCAAATATGTAAACTTATTTACTACCTCAAAATTATATTGGTCTATACTGAAGTTTTGTTCGGCGTTTCTAACTCTATCTCTGTTATTTGGAATAGATGCTAACATTTTGGTTTTTTCCTCGTTTATTTTAAGGCCCATATTTTGTGCGGCTGTCAAGAAGGTGGAAGTCATCTCTTTAAGTCCTCGTGTAGTACGTGCGATCAAATCCAGATCGTCAGCGTAAGCCATAATCTGCGTTGATTTATTAAAGATTGTTCCCCTATTGTGTAACTCGGCATCTCTTATACTCTTTTCTAATGCTATATTAAAGAGAAGGCACGCCAGCGCGTCTCCCTGCCGTAACCCTGCATATGTTTCAAACGCTTGTGACATATCGCCTTGTATTTGCACTCTGCAGATCACTTTAGTCATAGTTGTTTTTACGAGCCTTATTAATTTATGGGGAATGTTAAGTTCATTCATGGCTTCGTATAATTTACCTCTTAGGACGCTATCATACGCTGACTTAAAGTCCACAAAGAGATGGAACGTGTCAATATTAAATTCATTGTTTTTTTCTAAGATTTGACGTAGCACAAAAATCTGGTCAATTGTTGATCTACCTGGCCTAAAACCGCTTTGATACTCACCAAGGATTTCTTCCACGTACGTACTTAAACGGCTGTACAGGGTGTTGGAGAATATTTTGTACATTGTATTCAGAAGAGTTATACCCCTATAATTTTTACATTCCAACAAATCTCCCTTTTTGTGCAGTGGACATATTATTCCAGTGCACCATTCCTCTGGCATTTGTTCTTCTTCCCAGACTTTGACTATTATGTTGTGAATTTGGTGCATAATGCTGTTACCTCCATGTTTGATGAGCTCTGCGGGGATACAATCCACTCCTGGGGACTTGCTATTTTTGAGTCGTGTGATTGCGTCTTTCACTTCAAATATTGAAGGAGGTTCTACGTGAGTGTTATTTCTTGGTCTTTGGGGTGACGCATCATTTTCCACTTCGGTACCAAGTAGTTCTTTGAAGTGCTCAACCCATCTGCTTTGTACTGCTTCAGCGGTACTGACTATATGTCCATTTTTGTCTCTACACATCGTCAGCCGTGGTTTAAATTCTTTTCTTGTCTTATTTAGGATATTATAGAACTTTCTAGTTTCATTTTGCCCCTTTAATGATTGAAGCTCTTGCATAATCTGGTTTTCGAAGGTCCGCTTTTTCCTTCGATGTATGCGTTTTTCCTCCTTCCTAAGATCTTTGTACATTTGCTCCTTATCCCGTGTTCTTCTTTGTTGCATAAGCTTATATGCATAATTTTTTCTTTTAGTGATATCTTCACATTCATCGTCGAACCAACTGTTGCGTGGAGTGGATTCTTCTGGTCCTAGGACGTTGTTTGCCGCTTCCTTAATTGTTCTTCTACATATATCCCATTGCTCGCTAGCTGTTAAATTCTCATCTGTTGTGCTTTCATGTTCAAGGTAATTTTGATACCTTTCTAGTGCACGGGGCTCTTTCAAGAGTTTTAAATTGTAGCGAGTACTTTTCTTACCCTTTTCTTTTTTTGCATTTGAGATTCTTGCTCTTATTTTTGCGCCTACTAAGAAGTGGTCTGAATCTGTATTAGCTCCACGATAAGTACGTACATCCATTAGATTAGAGAAGTGCCTGGTTTCTATTAGGATGTGATCTATTTGATTTTTGGTTGTACCATCAGGCGACGTCCATGTTACTTTATGGATATTCTTATGGGGAAAGTAGGTACTTCCAACGACCATGTCCTTGGATGGTGCAAATCCTATTATTCTATTTCCATTGTCGTTGGTGACGTCATCAGCGCTGCATTTTCCGATGTATGGACTATATATATTTTCTTTCCCTATTTTTGCATTAAGATCTCCAATTATGGTTATGATATTGCGGTGTAAAAAACCTTAGAAGAAAATAACCCTTAAATTCTGAACAGAGAGACATATTGTTAGTGTATATTATATAGTGTTAATTACTCTGAATAAATCGTTTCTCTGTATATCTCATAAGCTCCTATATACTACTTTCTCTGTAATAACTGCATCTTAATATCGTCGAATTGAATAATGAAATTATATGTTGAAAAAAACTGCTGCGACTTGCGATCCAACAGTGTAGAGCTTTGACGGATCAGTGTAGCAGGAAACTTAAAAGAGAACAGGCTGCAGCTCTTTTGCTACCTAGTGACAATGTTTTAACAAAATTAAAACCAATCATAAGAGAAACACATCTAATTAATAAGTTATGGGCCCAGTGACTGGTAAGTTATTAGAAGTCTCGTAGAGGCTTCTCTATGCAGTTCCGTCTTACTTAACAATACTAAGATCAAATAAATGAAGATAAAATAAAGAAGAATTTGTAAGAAGTCATCGTCAACCTCAACTGAAAAGGTGGAACCTAAGGAAGAAGAAATGAAGATAAGAAGTATAAGATAAAAAACTCTTAATATGATACATCATCATCAGTTGGCGCTACAGCCCTTCGTGAACCTTGGCCTGCTTCAAAACATTCTTCCATCTCCTCTGTTGGTTTTAAATGGTTTTGAAACATCCCCTTGTACGCGCACTTTACATTCGACTTTCATCATTGTCATTTTAATTAATTCTACCAAACCTTTTGGTATTCCTAATTCGATCATCGCCGAATATAATTGGGACCTGTCAATAGTATCGTACGCTGCCTTAAAGTCTACGAAGATGTAATGGCAGTCTATGTCGTACTCCGTCGTTTTTTCTAATATTTGTCTGATAGATGATATGTGATCAATGGTAGATTTGTTTTTCAAGAAGCCTCTTTTTCAACATTCAATAACGTTTCCTTTTTTGTGTATGGGGCATATAATTCCAGTATTCCAATCTTCTGGTAACGCGCGTTCTTGCCATACCTGTATTAGTAGTTTGTGAAGGAAGGTTACAAATGTTTTACCGCCACATTTAAATATTTCTGCTGGTAGGTTGTCTGCTCCGGGTGATAATGATACATACAAATTCTAAACTGCAATACCTGAAACCATAAAAATCAAATAGATTTTTAGTTCTAAAACTGTTTAGTTCCAGTTATATCCTTATTGAAGAAATATTTTTAGCTTTTTAGGTATTTATTTATATTAACATAATCTATACAAAAATTTCAATATTCTATTTTGGTGCAAAATGTCCTCCATATTTTCTGCTTCGTTTTACTCTCTCAATGTCCACATCTGGGTATTGTTCTTTAAGGGCTTCCATATCCAGATCTGGATATCTATTAAGTAGTCCTAAGACATGATTGAAATCTCTCCTAAAAAAAAAGAAAACATTTGTTCATTCATTTTAAACAAGCTTTTTACATATTAAGCAAAAAGGTATTAAGATATCCAAGAAAATATCAGAATAAAATATAAGTAGTTAAAGAAAGGTCCTTATCATCTTCTTTTCATTTGTTTATGCCTTTTGTTTTTCTTGAAAAATTCTATTGTCTTAAAACTTCTAAATAAGTAGGTTTAACCTGATCTAAAAAAAGAAACTTATTGCACTTATGGGTCAATAGATTTTTCTCTTTTTCTTGTGTTCTTTTCATTTTTTAAAACAAAAGTCTGAGAATCTTTAAACTTAACCATAGACTCCCTTGAAAATAGTAGTACATATGTTCATAAGGAAGTATCTTACCGAACTCAGGACAAACAGGTCTTCTTATTCTTCACTTATAGCTTTCCCTTCTCTTCAAATAAGTATCCTAGAGTATTAAAACTTTGTACATAAAGCCCTCCTGATGTAAAAAAGAACCCTATTACATTCTGTGTATATGGTAGAGGAGAAGGTGGGAATATGGCCCCTGCTGGTAAGTCGGCCCGAGTGAATTTGTTACTTCCGCCAATGCCATTGTTAACTTATGCTTGATACTACATCTATATCTATCTATCGAAACTTTGTCAGGACCCGAGAACTACCGCGTTTAGCCTTTAGTTGACTTACAAAGCTGGCTTCATTCACATGCTTAAAAAAACTTTTTGCCATTCTTGTGTTTATGTTGTTTTTTCTAAAAAACCAGTTATAAACATTATCTTTCTCTGATTAGTGTGTAGAAAAACCATCGAATATCAACTTTTAAAGGTAACTATGAACATTTTGCAATAGATATAAATTGGTTTTGTTATTTTGTTTATAATGTAATTATCGATTTAATATGGCCCCCTGAATGTGTATGCATTATGGACCCGGGTCCATATTACATACACATTGAGGGGCCCATATTACATATTTGCACTTTATGATTTTCAGATGACCCGTACTAATCTTTCTCCTAAATCTGAGAAAAAAAAAGAGTTGCTAACAACATGAAAAAGTAGAGGCAAAAAAGGCAGTAGAGGCTGTTCGTAATAAGCAGATGGGTTTTAAGAAAGCAGTCAAAACGTTTGCTGTACCAAGAATTACGTTAAGAAGGCTATTCATGATCCTGAGTTATCAATAGATCTGTAAGTACAAAAACCGTTGGGTAAAAAAACTATTTTACCTTTAACTCTGGTTAAGGAAACAATTAGTCGAGTATCTTTTGTAAAAGGAGCGCACCTTTTATGGACTTACTCACTTGGATGTTAGGCGAATGGCTTATCAATTAGCAGTCAAAAATAACATCCAGAATCCGTTTAAATTTTAAAATTATTCTCTCGATCGTGTCTATAACGTAGATGAAACTGGACTTTAAATCGTGCAATCAAAAGTACCGCAACTAATAGGACAAAAATTCTGGTTGAATACAAACCAATTTATTTTCTGAATGGTTCAATCATTTTTTATCAAAGACCAATCCAACAGAGGATTCTCCTGTCCTTCTTATACTCGATGGTCATTACAGCCACACTCGTAATGTTGATATTCTAGAAGTTGCTTGTGAAAAGTATGTTACCATTATCAGCTTGCCTTCTCATACTACGTAAAAGCTGTAACCGCTTGATAAAACATTTATGAGTGCACTTAAATCTCATTATAGTGAAGAAATAAGAAAATTTCTGTTACAATCTGACAGAATGCTTAAGCCTCATGATATTGCTGAGTTATTGGGTAAAGCTTACTTAAAATGTGCAACAGCTGAGAACGCAGTAAATTGTTTTAGAGCGACTGGAATATATCCCTTCAATCCTCAAATTTTTCAGGATGCTGATTTTCTAACAGAGTCACAATTGCTTCAAATGGAAGAGGAAAATATATCATCGAGTACACATCCAACTTCTTTAATGATGAACCCACCTACGCTGTCTGTCGAAACTGCTACATTAACTGTAGAATCGTCTCTACAGCCTACTTCATGCACTGTTCCTGAATCCTCAATTCAACTGAAGTCAAGTGCTCCAAGCATGTCAACATCAGATTCAGTATCAACCCAAATCATCTAACAAGCATGGAAGGCTGCTAACTATAAAGCCTTCTGTCTTATATTCAAAACCAGGAACATCATCAGCTGTAAACCCTTTGCTTATACTACCCCATCAAATTTCACCAATACCCAAGCCTAAAATAAAAACCTCAAATCGAGGAAGAAAATCAACAAAAGTCACTGTAATTACATCATCGCCATATAAATTTGAATTAGAACAATCTCTTAAGAAAACTGAAGACTGTAAACAGAGTTGTGGACGCCAAATGGGACCAGGATAAGGTCAAATTTGCAAAAAAGCTCAAAAGAAAGCTCAGAAACGTATTACTGTCGAATATTCTGACACTGAAGAAAGTGATCTTTCCAATATTAAAGAGGATACAGATTCCGAACTAAGTTCACATGTTCAATTCCTGATAACGACAACGCTGTGTGCCTCTTTTGCGAGGAGTCTTTGTTAAGTAATATCAGAGGGAAATCTTGGGTACAGTGTCATAGCTGTCTTTTGTGGGCACACAATGAATGTGCCGGCGCAGAAAATGAACATTATATCTGTGATTTCTGCCAATAGATTTTTGTATTCCTTTAATATGGCCCCCTGGGGGCCATATGAGACTAATGGTTTTGTTTTTAGATACTGATAAGAATAATTTTTTTTATGTTAGATCTTGATTTTTTATATGTTAGATCTTGATACTGTATTAGTATTAGACTAATAGTTATGTGGACGAAAATTAAAATTTAAAAATGTTGATTGTTTATAATCTCTAGTCGAAAACAAATTAAGGGGCCATATTCCCACCTGCTCTATTTTTCTTTTCCTCATATTTTTAGTATTTTTCTTTTTTCCTAAATCCCACAGTTTTGAAAGTAAAATAAAAAGTCTTAAAACTTGGTAAATGGGTTCCACAATTTTTTCTTGAAAGCCATTTGTTATTATAACTGGTCATACTGCAGTGGGTTGGCCTAATGTACATCTTTCGATTATGTAACCTGCTCAGGTTTTAGTATTAACTACTACTTACATAGCCTGGACCAATGACTTTACATAACACCCCCCAAGCATGGTGGTGGCTCTGTTTAATTAGAAGTTGAAAATGGGCAAAAACTATGGATGGAACGTGATTGGAATGTGAGAACATACTTAGAAAAACAAAATCATGGCATAACAATGATATAAACACAAGAAGGGAAACACTATGAGGGAATATTGACAATCAAAATATACTTAATCTAGGATACTAAATTATGATTTTAAAACTTACGCAGCCTTCTTTCGTTTGTTAAGATACAATTTTTCCCTATATTTAAGAAGAAAGTCCTCAACATCTTTATCATATTTATATTTATAGAATTTATGGGATTCCTTCCACTTTGTATTCATGTGTTTGGGCATGACATGCTCAGTCATTTTGTAATAATATTTAAGTCCAAATACTCCAGTTACAAGTTTACCCGGCCTTTCACCTGTCTCACCAGTCTCTAGCTGATGATATGCTTTGTTTCTTTCTCTAACTACACTCTCTAGGTTTTCCATAGAATCAGCTACTTTATCAATTCTTTCTGGAGTAGGAAATAGCTTGGAGTTGTCATTACATTCTTGTTCCATTGTCATTAACATGTTTCTTTCCTTAAGTAGTACATACCTAAAACACAATAAACATTATATCTTAAACATTGGATTTTGGTTAAGAATATTTTAACTTGCATCAATTTAAGGGAAAAGGAGCAATTTATAATCATAATGTTCGATAAATTTTACATATAATTTAACAAATTTACCAGAGTTTGTGTAAATCTTCATTTGATTTCAGCCTCAACTCATCTTTTGTCCAAGATCTACCACATTTTACCTCATCAGCTCCCCAATTTTTCTTGTCATCAAAAAATTCCATTAGGTCTCTTTTAACTGTAGTTATGGTGAAATTTCTAAAAGGTGAATAACACAGTGTGAAAACTTTTCTGTCTCATTGATAAAGTTAATATTATTATCTAACTAATTAATGAATTTCTCTTTTTAATAAATTTATAATTTGTTTTTAATTAATGCGGAAATAAATATCAATATTTGAACCATAACAATACTTTAAACTTATGCTTTAAAATAAAATTTTCTTACCTTGTACATGGTGTATTTACAAAGTTTGAAGTATGATTTAACTTAAGTTTATTAAGGAGACCTGCCAATCTCGCTAATTTATTTAAATTATCCATTTCCTAAGTTTTTATTTCATTAAAAAAGGAACAATTATTAATATTTCTAATTTAATTTCTGCTTTAACCTTATAGAAATTGACACATATTGTAGGTTATGTCGGATATGTAGTCTTCTTGTTTGTATTAACGTATCGGTGGTCTCTGGTTTTAACCATCTAGTAATAAATAACAGGTTTTACCATGGACATATAAATTATACGTCCATGAGTTTTACCTTTATCTGACTTTATTCAGATACAACTATTATTTTAATAGGTTTACTCGTCCACTTTTTTCAGATGACAATATTCCTATGAATAAAAAAATATTTTATTTTTATGTTTTATGTGTAAGTACGCGCATATCGTTCGCGCAGACGGAATCGGCCATGTTTTAAATGGAACCAGTGCTGTTCAGTGAAATTTTATTTCTTGTGCATAGACAAATTAATTAACTCGGTTTAATTTATTTACGGCAACTACAGACATAATATGCACTATTTTATTCACTTTTAGTTGAAGAATAGATTAAATTATTTTAAATGTACTAAATATTATTAATTTAAGTAAAATTTAAATTAGGGTTCTGTCCACAGGTTCTGTTGTAGCTTGTCACAAATTTCTCAATTCGAGTCTATGTTTCCGTCTAAAACATGGCGATCGCGTGCTGACAAACTTCAAAGGCGACATCTGAGAGTGGGCATTCTGATTGTTATTTATTCTGTGTCTATATACTATATTATTTATCTATGATTTTATATCATAAGTTTTGTCACTGACGCGATATTGTCAAGTAAAGAATATTTATTTACATAATATTAAAGAGCTGTTAAGAAAATGATAAATATCAATAATAATTGTTCCTGTATATATCCCACACCATCTTCGACTTTACTAAATAAAATAATATGTCTTCTAGAATACCAAGTGACCCCAAACGATATACCAAGAGTTTGTGAAATGATATCCTGTTATTTGGAAAATTCTAAACAAGGATTTGTATCCTTCATTATTTTTATATTTTTGGATTTTGCTCTACAATTGTTGTATATATTTTCAAAAATGGAGATTAGGAAATCCTTACTTAGAATTTCCTAAACTCCCTTTTAGGACAAATCATCATCATCGTCAGTAGCTCGACAACCCTTTCTATGATCCCTGGCTTGTTCTATGATTTTCCGCCATTCTGTTCTGTTCCTTGCTGTGTTTTTCCAGTTGGTAATCTTAAGTGTTTTCAGATCTTGTTCCACTTGTTCCATGTGTCTAAGTTTGGGTCTTTTGACCTACTCCCTACTGGTGTTTGCCTCATTATATGTTTTGGCGTTTCAGTCTCCAACATCCGTTCAACATGACCCATCCAGCGCAGACGTCCGTTCTTTATGGATGTTATGATCTCAGATTCATTGTATGCTGTGTATAGTTCAAAGTTATATCTTCTGCGCCATAAGTCATTTTCCTATACACCTTTATATATGTGTCTAAGGATCTTTCGTTCAAATGTACCTAATAGGTTCTCATCGCTTTTCGACAGTGTCCATGTCTCTGATCCATATACAAGGACCGGTTTCATCAGGGTCTTGTATATTTTGCATTTGGATTTTCTTGAGATGTTGTTAGATCGTAGATGATTAATCAGTCCATTATATGTGTTATTAGCGATATGTATTCTTCTCTTAACTTCTTCACTAACATTGTTATCTGCGGGAACTAGTGAACCTAGCTATGTAAAACTTATCACGCTTTCGATGTTATGTCTTCTATTGTCAGATTCTGTAGGTTTCTTTGGCCTGTCGGTTTACTAGCCTTCATGTATTTGGTTTTTATTTCGTTAATGTTTAGGCCACTGTTTTGAGCCGCTCTTTCTATCGCATTAAATGCTTCTATCATCTTTCTTTCGCTTCTAGCTATGATATCAACATCATCTGCAAATGCAAATATTTGTACACTTTTTGTTATTATTGTCCCTCTGGTGTTTTTTGACTCCCTAATTATTTTCTCTAATGTAATATTAAATAGAATACAGGATAGGGCATCTTCCTGTCGTAGGCCCGTTCTCACATGGATTGTATCTGTTAGTTCGTTTTGAATTTGAATTTTGCTTTGTACTTTAAGTGTTTCTTTTACTATATCAATGAGTTGAGTTGGAATATTAAATTTCTACGGCAAATATTTGCATATTAAATCCTAAAAAATCAGTTACAGATTTTTTAAAAGAATTCTATAAGTAATATATTTTTATTTGCATATTTTGATAGGTACAAAGTGATATTCATGTAACAAATTTTCATATTAATGTTTATGTATTATCTGGATGACAAACTTTGTTCAAAGGAGTTGCTTTCAACGTAAATTTCAAAACATTTCAAACGATTTCATGAGTAAAATTACATAATTCAAATTCCCATAATAATCAAGCCGACAGGTGTGTAAAATGTACATTTTTAGCCTTGAAAGATAAACTGAAATTTGCTGGACACTACCTACCCATATAGTCACTAAAATGGAGTATAGAGTAGAGACCAGACACTGTTATTGTAAGTCTTATCTTTATTCATTAGGTAGCGTTTAGGCTACATAAATTTTTATTCTTTTATTAGCGTAATTTTATTCTTTGGTGAATACACCATTGTCTTTGTAATAATTGTTAAGACTGTTAATAGTAATAATTGATCCAAGTTGGTATATATCCTGTCGGTATATAAATTAACAATTTAAATTTGTAGCCACTACGGAGCTATGATATTTTTATGTAGCAGTTTCCCTAGTAGTCTCCGTTCTGTTGTTACACCTTGTATAATTTAGTAAAAAAGATTTCAAAGAAAATAGTTTTATTAAATTTTGTGTAATTTGCAAAATCTTGAAGTTGTAAATAATGTTACATTTACTTCTAATAGGATTGATTGCATGATTTAATGTTATCGTATAGGAGGGCCAACGCGGTCCTGTCTCACACCTGCAGACTATGAACGTGCCTAGTGGCCTAAGCGGCAAGGTCGTTTCTCATAAGCAGTGTACTGAAATCCTCTCATGAATTTGTCTATAGGTACTGTACTGTGATTTTTTTCTCATATGCGCTTGGTTATGTTTTTGCACTGCTATTATAGAAATATTAAGCGTTTCTATGAAGCAGTGATATGAACGTGCATAGAGAGTTTAGAATATATTCAATTACCTCTTACTTTTCCCAGAGAAGTCATCCTTGTCTTTATCAAAATTTTGTAGATTAAATAGACTAAAATCAAATCTACATTCTAAGACTAGTTATAGGGAACTAGGTTAACAGAATTTGTAGAAATAAAAGGGATACATGTTCGCTGTAACAGATTATCAATAAGTAAGAAATAAATTCACTTCATAGCGGCTACATTATCTCACAGTGATTCATAAATAAATAGCATTATTTTAAGTGCAGGTGTTAGGTACACACTCGGTTAGTAAAGAAAAAAATTTATAATTTCCGCTATATAATAACACGGTAAAATAACACTATTCTGTATGAATCACAGTGTATATTTGCTAGGTACAATCCTCCAATCTTTGTATCGTTTATCATTCTTAACAACTACCTATAGCTTGTTGTGGATTTACCAAACATAATGACTTTACTGGAAATCTTAAGTGACGGTTTCGATACAGAACCACTATTCAGAAAAATCTTAGCGGATGTTTTACAAATTTGTAAAATTCCTATACTACTTACTAGAAGTTCTGATATACTGAGATATTCCATAGATTTACAAGAGTATTTTTCAGTTTTAGGTAAGTTCTCCCCTTTACTGATGCCTATTGGTTATACAATTTTAAAGTTAAAGGTTCGTCTTTATTTTTCTATATCTAAAAAAATTAACTTAAATAACCTACTCTGAGGCGTAACCATGATTTTCATAAATGTATTTAAGTAGATATTTAAATATAGTGTTAAGTTAAAGTAAATTATTAGACTTATTATTACATTATTTATCGATTTAGGGTACGTTTTACTTAGAGTCCAGTGCGCCGAATACCAAAGACTTGTCTTGAATATTCTAATATCTTTATTGCAAGAACCAACTGAAGAATGGAAAAATCAAGTTACTCTTGAGAAGCGACAAGAAGCAGCGATGTCTGGCAGATTTCCACAAATTTTGGCTCAATTGCTTTTTATTGCCGATGATGATCTATTTCCTAAACTTTTGGAGCTGACGTTTAAATTGTTGGCCGAAAACTTAGAATCATGTAAGTTATAGATTTGAATGTTTTGACATTTGGAAGCAAAGTGCTGCAGCTTAGGTTGTGAATGATTTCAATATAAGTATATTTTATACTACGAAAATATTGTTATGGTAAACTATAAGAGAGTATATTTTGTTACTATCACTTGAACGAACGTTATAAATACTAATCAAAATTTTCACTAATATCGCGCGCTGAAAAATTGCCACTCCTGTTATTGATTGGGCGTATCAATACAAAACGATTGCACATACGAATTTTTAAAATAATTCTAGTCTGTTATAGTATCAAAGTTTCGAACTTTGCACGATATCTTAACTTTGGCATGTCATATGACGTCATAACTTTTTGATTTTTTTAAATTACACCACAAAATGGGGCTAGTCATATATTCTGCGTTGCTAAAGGGATTTTTTGCAGCTCCAAGCTGTTACTGATTTATACTCCTTCTCAGAGCCTTTTTTCAGTGCGTCATTAATTGTAACGTCATAGACTGTATTTGATGTGTCGAGTATTATTTCATGTAATTATTGAGAATTGTGACAGATGCCAGAACCGTACTTACTTTTATTGCAAGGTGGATTAAATAATAGTAAACAATATTGTTTACTAAATTTATAAATAAAAAAATACTGTTTTCAAAGATGTTTATTAGGTAATTTATAAATTAATGACAAAAATAGGATATAATTCAAATCATAAAAACAATTTATTCACTGATGCCTAATTAACACTGCCATCATGCCACCATGAAGGCTAAGAGGACTCTTAAATCTTTATTTAATTACTTGGTATTTCTTCTTCTTAACATGCCATACACCAAAGTGCGTAGGCGACTATCTCATTACTAGAATTCTGTTCTTGGCGGCATGACACAGCTCGCCTGTATTGTGTATTCCTGTCCATTCTTTGTGATCCAGACCCAGTGATACAAGCAAAAATAAGCAATGAAATAAACGCACAAATTCAAATATTAACGACAAACATTACCGAAGATATAACACCAACATGGAATACGATTACAAGTGCTGTAACAGACATCATGAAAAACAACTTAGGGTACAAACGAAATAACAAGAAGCAAAAATGGATGACAGAAGAAATACTATTACTAATGGAAGAACGACGAAGACACAAGAATAACCAAGATGACAGCAATATGTATAAAAACATTAACAGGCAAATAAAAGCAAAAATAAGAATAGCAAAAAATGAATGGCTTAAGCAACAATGTATCGATCTAGAACATTTACAAAGACAACACGACGACCGTAATTTACATAAAAAGCTTAAGGAGACTGCTGGAATATACAGAAAACGAAGACCAACTACCATAGTTAATCAGGATAACCAGATAGTGCTGGGTGAAAAGGAGAAAATTGATATATGGGAAAATTATATCCAGGAGCTCTTCCACGACGAAAGACCCATGAGTGAAGTTTATACAGACGACCAGCTGACTGGCCCTTCAATCACCAAAGAGGAGATAGAAAAAGCAATATTAAATTCAAAAAACAATAAGACACCTGGACCAGATGAGATCCCGTCAGAAATACTCAAATTACTAGATGAAAGGGGAATTTCAGCACTACACAAAATCTTTAATTTAATTTATGAAACTGGCTGCTATCCTCAACAGTGGTTACGCTCTACCTTTATTCCCCTGCCCAAGAAAGTCAATGCAAAAAGATGTGAGGATCACAGACTCATTAGCCTGATGAGTCACACTTTAAAGATATTCTTAAAAATACTACATCAAAGATTATACAAAAAATGTGAATGGGACATCAGTGATTCCCAGTTCGGGTTTAGGCAAGGTTTAGGAACACGAGAAGCAATAGTAGCAACACAGGTACTGGTCCAAAATTGTTACGATCAGAGGAAGGATGTGTTTCTATGCTTTTTAGATTACAAAAAAGCGTTTGATCGTGTCCAACACCACAAGTTAATGCAGATTCTCAAGAAAGTTGATATAGACCAAAAAGACATAAGATGCATTGAAAACTTGTACTGGCATCAAACGGCACAGCTAAAAATAGACAATTCTATATCTAAGCCCATACATATAAGAAGAGGCGTTCGACAGGGATGTGTGCTTTCCCCTCTTTTATTTAACATTTATTCAGAAGCCATATTTCAAGAGTCTTTGGAGGATGCAGAGATGGGAATCAAGGTGAATGGAGTATTGATCAACAACATACGATATGCTGATGATGGTGTCTTAATTTGTGACAACATAGTCGATCTTCAACAACTTGTCACTATAATCGGAGAATACAGTGAGCGAATGGGACTAGAGATTAATACCAAAAAGACCAAATTCATGATCATCTCCAGAAACTTGGATGCATTTGAAAACTCCACCATAACACTGAATAGTAAATCCATAGAAAGAGTGAGTAAATTTAAATACCTGGGATCGTGGCTTTTTGAAGACTGGGCATCGGACAGGGAAGTAAAATGTCGCATTGAGCAAGCTCGACAAGCTTTCGTAAAATTCAAGAAGGTACTGACTTGTTCTGAGTTCGATCTTCAACTGAGACTAAGGTTTACTAAGTGCTACGTATGGTCAGTGCTGCTATATGCCGTAGAGGGCTGGACACTCAAAACGAGAGATATAAACAGATTGGAAGCTTTCGAAATGTGGCTTTATCGCCGTATCCTAAAAATACCATGGACAGCGAAAATCACAAATATAGATGTCCTTAAAAGAATAAACCAAGAACGCCAACTTTTCGAAACCATCAAGAAAAGGAAAACGGCGTATCTAGGTCACATCATGCGAAATGAAAAATACCAGTTCCTCCAACTTATAATCGAGGGTAAAATTGAAGGCAAGAGAGGAATGGGACGCAAGAAAATGTCCTGGCTCCGAAACATAAGGCAATGGACAGGGATTAACGACATACAATCTCTGATACATATTGCAAGAAATAGAGAGTTAATGGAAAATGTGATCGCTAACATCCATTAGTGGATTTGCATCTGAAGAAGAAGAGAAGTCCATTCTTTAATATTCCTTAACCAGGATAATTGTTTGAGGCTGGCTCCTCTCCTACCTTCGATCTTCCCTTGTATGATTAACTGTGGTATTTCATATTTTGCTCCTCTCAATATGTGCCCAAGGTAACCAATTTTGCGTTTTTAATTAATTCAAAGAGTTCTCTTTCCACGCCGGCTCTATTAAGGACGTCATCGTTTCGAACTCTATCCACCCAAGGTATGCGCATCATTCTTCTCAATGACCACATTTCAAATGCTTCAAGTTTGTTAATAGATGTTTTTTTCAAAGTCCACGTTTCCTTGCCATAAAGCAAGATGGACCATATGTAGCACTTGACCATAATGTAGCGTATTTCGAAGTTTGGGTGTTGATTACATAGGAGCGGTCTGAATTTCACAAAAGCTTGTCTTGCCATTTGTATTCGGGTTTTTATCTCGTGTTGTGGATCCGATTGGTCATTGATTGTGGTGCCAAGGTATTTAAAAGTTTTCACGCGATTTATACGATTGTCACCTATACAAATTATCGGGTTTTCTGGAGGGTTTCTGCTAATGACCATATATTTCGTTTTCAAAATGTTGATTTTAAGGCCATATTTTTTACCTATGCTATTCACCCTATCAAGTAATAACTGCTGATCTTCCAAATTATCAGTTATAATCACTGTGTCGTCCGCATAGCGTAGGTTGCTAATTGGTATGCCGTTCACCTTAATGCCTAATTCCGTATCTTCTAATGCTTCCGCAAATATATTTTCAACATATAAATTAAAAAGCATCGGAGAGAGTATGCAGCCTTGGCGGACACCTTTCCGGATTTCAAATTCATCCGTATATTGGTCTTGATCAATCCTCACCTTTGCCATTTGGTTCCAGTATAGATTCTGAATAATTTTGATCTCCTTCTGGTCAATGTTGGCCCTATGTAGTTGTTCCATCATGATATCATGTTTAACATTGTCAAATTGTCAAAAGATCTACAGTACATAATACAACATGTATACAATGCATGTGAAAGTTACGGACTGCAAATGAATCTCAAGAAAACGAAATCAATGATATTCTCAAAAAAACCACAAAATGTAAATAACCTGATCATCAATAATACAACGATAGAAAGAGTAAAAACATATAAATATTTAGGAACGTGGCTAACCGAAGATGGAGATCAAGTAAAGGAGATCAGATCTAGAATAGAAATGGCAAGAAACACGTTCATAAAATTGAAGAAATTACTTTGCAACCGTAACCTTAATCTAGAGATTCGCACAAGAATGCTACGTTGTTACGTCTTTTCTACTTTACTATATGGCATGGAAGCGTGGACAATAAAGCAGTCTGAAATCAAAAAATTAAACACCTTTGAGATGTGGTGCTACAGGAGAATGCATAAAATATCGTGGATTGAAAAAGTAACTAATATAGAGGAGTTACAAGGAATGAAGAAAGAATGTGAAGTCATAAAAACTGTTAAAATTAGAAAGATTCAATATCTGGGACATTTAATGAGGGGTGAGAGGTACGTATTACTGAGGTTGATTATGCAAGGGAAGATACAAGGGAAGAGAAATCCAGGACGACGCAAAATGTCCTGGCTAAGAAATTTGAGAGAGTGGTTCGGCTGCAGCTCATTAGAATTATTCAGAAATGCGGCCAACAAAGTTAAAATAGCGATGATGATTTCCAACCTCCGCTAGGAGAAGGAACCCGAAGAAGAAGAAGATTTGTGTTTTAGTCTTTATATGTACGTCATCATCAGTTGGCGCTACAGCCCTTCGTGAGCCTTGGCCTGCTTCAAAACATTCTTCCATCCTTCCCTATCGAGTGTCTGTCTTCTCTAGCCCCTCACTCCAATCTCCCTCAGATCTTCCTGTACATCGTCCAGATATCTGAGTTTAGGTCGCCCCCTTCTTCTTCTTCCGATCGGCCTATTTAGCATAGTTATTTTAGTGGGATCACTCCCATCCATCTGCATAACGTAGTAACTCTTCATCTCGGGTCGTCATTGTCCATGTTTCCGATCCGTATGTGAGCACTGGGCGTATTATTGTTTTATAAAGTTTGCACTTTGTTGCTATTGACATACTTCTTGCTCTTAGTTGAGGGTCCAGGCCTAAATAACAGCGGTTAGCCACGCATATTCTTTTTTTTATCTCGTTGGATGTGTTATTTTTGTAGTCTACCAGTGTTCCTAAGTAGCAGAATTCTTCTACCATTTCTATCGTTTCGTGTTGCACCTCTAAGTTATTTTGTTGAATTCTTGATATGGCCGGCATATATTTAGTTTTCTGGATGTTAATCAGAAGTCCGATGTTTTCTGCGGCAGATGTACGTCTCGTGATTTAAATATTTGGTTCATAGCAAAGTATGCCGTATTAGTTTATGAGGATGATTCTTCTACTAAGCGCTGCATCGTCAACGTTGTCTTTTGTGATGTTGATTCCTAAGTAGATAAAGCTGTCTCTCCGATCGACTTTGTACTAGGATTTAGTCTTTTTTGTGTTTAATGACAGACCTATGTGTGTAGCATGTGATTTAAATTTCGTATACGTATTCTCGCCTGTTGCTTTGGTTTTGCTCATTTTCCTTGGTATACGTTTTATTCTTAATTGCACTGACTTTATAGGTCTTTCTTATCAAGGTAATTTCTTTAATTTTTCTATGTAAGTTGAAGTAATCTTTTTTGTTTTGTCGTAAATTTCATGGAATTTTTGTTATAGTTATGTCTCTTTGCTTCTTTTATTTTACTTTAAAATAATCTTAGTTTAGTTAGTTTACATTTCGTAAAACTCTTCTTGTTGTAGATATGTTCTTTCTCCAATACAATAGCTACCAAATTCGTTTCTCCAAAAAAACTTAATTTTAAATGATTGATTATTGCTTATTTATTAGGTAAGTTAATGCTACCAGAAGATGTTATAAATTCTCTTCTAATCAGAATTGAAGACAACTGGAGAAACCGCTATCCAGATGCTCCAGTTTCAGAGCCGCACTCAGATCTTTTCCTCGGATTTTCGGAACCTCCTTCATTTTCAAATCTTACTTTAATCACTTCTATCGTTAATCTGATAGGAATATATTTAAACTCAAATAGAGACATGTTGCAGAATGTCCCTGTCATCTCAAGACTTGCATTATGGTAAGTTAAACATTTATTTGGTTTTTTTTTACCACCACAACCATTTCTCTACCATATATTTACGGATGTGTTACATATATTCACAGTAGTATAGAAGATGATCACTTAGTTAATACCTAATAGCTCTGAAAATATCATACACAGCATAACCATAAAAATATAAGAGCTATCAGTAAAACCAAATACTAATACTAAATATTAATAATGAAAATATTTTTTCCCACAGCGCAAAGTCCTAAACCCTATTCAACACTTCGAAGGTGTAGGGCTTTTTTGTGTTTTTTTCATTTTTTATTTGTATATATTTTTTTATTTTATTTATTTTTTTTAATATCAATTTTCATATTTTTAGATGGTTGAAACAATTTTGTAGAAACTTATATTAAGTGTACATAGAATGACATTTAAATTGGTAGGAAGAGAAGCACCTGCTATTAGTAGATTTTTGTATTACGTATTATGTTTTTAATTTTGTGATTATTTCATTGTTTCCGATTTTCATCGTTTTCCTTTTAAACTAACAAAAACAGCTTCGTTTTATATACTATTTTTAATAATGTATCTGATTTTTAATTCTTAATACGTTTATCGGTTTGAAGAAGCAGACTTAATGTGTTTTTATATGTTTTAGGAATGTGAGATACGTTTATGTCTATGTCACAACAAAGCAGAAAAATCCTTCTGCCAGAAATTTCCTTCTGACTGCTGTAATTTGGATACTGGAACTTTTTCCAAATATAGATTTTGTTCCCAGTGGCTTAGCGCAAGGTAAGATACAAATGTTGTACTATTAATTGTACTATTAATAACATTTATAATTATTTAAAAAATAAACAAAGATCTTGGAAAAGTTCATTCACAATATTATAGTAACTAACTTATTGGTGCGCACCTAATGCTAATTCAGGATATTGCAAAAACTTAAAACATTCAGTTTCCTTTTTTGAACAATTTTTTTTAAGAAATACTTCAAGAGCCTAGGTATATTGGTAAAGACCGCATTCAATGACTGGTTGAACATTAGAACAGTGAGAGGCGAAATTTCTGATTAGTGTAACGCACACAATTACCCGACCTATTCGTCTAATGGTACGCATATGTCGGATAACTGTGCGCAATAGTAGAACTTATAAATGACCTTCGAAAATATAGTGTATTGAACATAAATATTAAAGGTCCAACAAATATAAGGAAAAAAATAAGAAAGTTAAAGATAAATTTTTAAAAAATCGAAGAATCGCGTCACAAATATATCGTTCTGGTATGAGCCTATTGACAACATATTGAATACTTACTCATCAATACTTACTTACCATACCTCGTCTTTTTGGCTACTATTACTACATAATATACAGAAGTCATTTTCATCTGATACGAGATCGTCCAACTCATCATCTTCGCATAGTTTACATTCTGAAATATCTTTGGAGCAGCTGTCTTCAAAAATGTTCCGTTTTGTACCTTTTTCAATTCCGTTCATACTTTCATACATGGCAATCTCCTCGCAGTTAAGTTTCAAATTCTTTTTTTTTTAATAGCTTTGTACGTTTAATAGTACTATCAGCAATATGTGTAAACAAGCTTCTAGGAAATAATTTTAGAAACACATCTAGCTCAGAATACTGTCCGTTGAATTCCAAAAGATTGACACCCTTCCTTCTAGGTATAAAATTTTTCGAAGGTATTTTCCAAGTTACAACATGCGTGTTTGCATTGGGACTCACGTCAGTAGCTTCACCACTCCCATTATTACCGTTTCCTGCGTTCATTGAATGACATTCATCACCGCTACTTATATCTGCTTCTTCAGTACTACTGTTACCTTCCTCCTCTTCGTCGCTCATTTGAACTCCTCCTTCACTTCCATCTTCGCTGTCGCCAGCGATATAGTTAGACTCATCAGATGTTGAAAATGGTTCTTCTCTTGAGTCAGTTATATTATTTATAGCTTCTTCTAACTCTTTCTCACTAATAGGCCGGTTTCGTCTCATATCTGAAAGAGAAAAAGTTTATTACTGATGGTTGATCCTATATAAAATTACTGTATGGAACTAGATTGTTTGCTAAAACACCTTACATTGTAATTACTATTTATTATATTTTAGTTACTTGTAATAGTATTAACGTCTGCACGCTTTATTCCTTAATATTAATTAAAATAAGTAAAGGGTTCTTGCAATTTCATAAATAATAACTCAGACAGCCATGTACGTGCCACAATACATCGATGTTATATAGGTTAGGAAATTCAAGCATGTGATGACACCAGTGTTGCCGATTGATGAGAGTAGACTATAAATTACTGAAATTTGTACGTAAAAGCGGTTATATTTATCTTCTTCTTTAAGTGCCATTTCCGCGACGGAGGTGGGCAATCATCACGACTATTCTGATCTTAGATGTGGCCGCTCTGAATAGTTCAATTGATGTGCTCCCGTACCATTTCCTCAAGTTACGCAACCATGAGATTCTTCTCTTTCCTACACTTCTCTCGTCCTGGATTTTTCCTTGTATAGTTAATTAAAGTATATTGCATCTTTTATTATGCATAACATGCCCCAGGTATTGCAGCTTTCGTGTCTTGATGGTTTTTAATATTTCCATTCTTTTGTTGACTCTTTTCATGACTTCGTTGTTTGTTACATGCTCTGTCCATGATATCTTCAGGATTCTTCTATATACCCACAGTTCAAATGCTTCCAACTTTTTAGCAGTCGACACGTTAAGTGTCCATGCTTCTATCCTGTAAAGCAGAATCGAGAAAATATAACACCTTGTCAGCCTAACTCTCAAGTCTAATTTCAGTTCTCTTGCACAAAGTACCTTTCTCATTTTATTGAAGTTTGTTCGTGCTTTCTCTATTCGAACTTTGAGTTCTTTGGAGTAATCGTTTGTGTGATTAATTATTGTGCTAAGATAATTGTGGTTTTCAACTTGTTCTAAAGTTTTACCGTTAATTGTCAGGCTTTCATCATTATTTTGGGTTTTTGATATCCCCATAAACTTAGTTTTCTTTATGTTTATTGATAATCCATATTCTTCTCCATACTCAACTATCTTGTTCATTAGCTTTTGGAGGTCTTGGAGGTTGTCTGCTATTATGATAGTATCGTTTGCATATCTAATGTTGTTAATTGGAGTTACATTGACGTATATTCCTGCTGTTTCTCCCTCAAGAGCTCTTTTCATAATTTCTTCAGAGTATGCATTGAATAGTAGTGGTGACAATACACCATCAATTTATATCCATCAGTAAATATATACTAGCGGCCGGGAACTCTAAAGTCCCCCGCAGTGTCGAAAAGGTTAAGGTTCATTATGCTCATTTTTTGAGCGTTTTGTGGTGGAGGTAGAACAGTTTGCCGGAACGTGACGTATCATACATCACTGGAAAAGTGAGAGGTAGCGAATATTTTGAGATAGAAAAAACAAACATGGTGACATTGTCAAAAGGGTATTACATGATATCTCCGTTATTATTGATCCGATTGGTGCGTGTGATATGTTAAATGAAAGGGGAGAATATAATAAATGTACTAAGATAGAAAAAATAACCAAACCGACTAACAAAAGGTCATTACACAGTATCTGGAATAGGAATTAATGTATAGTTACGTACAAGATATCATAGGAAGGTATGGATAAAAATAGAACATAATTTTGTTACAGATTTGCTGAATACTACTTTTCAAGAAGTGTCAACGCTCGCCAACAATCTGCTAGTTTTGAAATGTACACTTTCTGAAGATGATTTCGTCTATTTACAGTTATTTATATATCTGATTCCACTATACCTGAAATACAGAGGGGGGAAACTGGTAAATATATTTTCTTATTGTTTTTTTTTATTTGCTTTCAACCACTCAGCATTACTAGCCGATTATAACATTGTTTTCAATACATTTAAATTATAATATAAAATGGTGAACCAACTTAACTAAATGTGACTGGCATACTATTAATATAAGACAGGTCATTCACGTTCTATCTTGTGGTCCCACTTAGCAGGACTACTAGTTGGATGTTCGTCTCCACTCACGCTCCGACTTTGTATCCAACTAGCGGTCCAACTTCAGTTCTAGGTTGTTTTCACGATGGTGTACATCGCTTAACCAAAAAATGTATCGAATAAACACTACGCCAAATATAATTAGGAGGAGGAAAATGGCAGCATTGTGCTTGTTATCCTTATATGTACCTTATGATATGTGTGTTCAAAAATTAGGTTTCGTTTCTCTAGTTATTTGTCTAGGGCTGAACTAATTAATTTTTTCAACTCTTGATTTTTATGACTTTTTAAGATGTAGGAAAAAATTATAGTTTTTAAAGATTTGTGTAGGTATAAAATTTATATTTTATTTGTTTTAAACTGGAGCTGGGATTTATTTTGATGTGGGTGTGTCGTATATTTTTAATAGGAATAATTTTTCGTGAAATTGAAAGTTATTTTCTATTATTTTTTTGCGAACTAGGGATTTTTCGCTACAACTATGATTTAATTTTCATTGTTCGTTAATAATTCTTCCGTAGCCAATCCGGAGTATCGGAAATTTACCTGTATGGGAATGTCCGAAATAGATCTACAGAAAGGAAAATGATTTGCCCTAACAAAAAGGTAATTTTCGTGCAATTGAAAGTTTATTTTCTATTAAATATTCGCGAACTAGAGATCTTTGTGTAAAGTATTTGATAGAAATCTCATACGTAACAGGTGCCGAAGGTCAACTCACTGAGGATTTGAGGAAATTTTCGATCCAACCTGTGATCCGACTTCCACCTTCACCATTCACGTTCCGACTTCGTCGCCAGTCGGAAGTCGGATCTTCAAGTCGTCCCACTAGATGTTCCGAGTCGTACCACTAGTTGTCCAACTAATCCAACTAGCCCACTCACGGTCCGATTTCAGATCCAACTGCAAAAGTTGGACCACTAGTCGTACCACAAGTCGGAACGTGAATGGCCTGCATAAGGAGAAATGTGACTCCCAAATTTTTGTCAGTTTTTCGTCAGTTAATTCGAAAGAGATAACAAAAATTACAATGACAAGCTGAAAAAGCAAGAAAGTTTCTTCGTAAATTGATATGTTTCTTCTTTACATATTTATGTTTTTACAGAATATGAGTGACTATAGAAAAAAAAACATAACATTATAGATTTATTTTAAAGCTGTAGATACAAATCGTTTTTCTCTTAAATGATCTATCAATGCAGTAACTTTTAAATATTTTTTAGATTTTAGAAAGAAGCAGGATTATTTATAGGTTATTAAAAATCATCAGCGCTCCTACAGAAAAAATACCTAATCCTAGAGAACACGCATGCGTTATCAAAGTCATCAGTTATAAAATGTTAAACGCTTTAGTTCCCCATTTAGAAGATGAGTTTATCGAAAATTGTGGCCCCCCTATGTAAGTTAAATTTATTATTAGCAGGATATACTTTGATTGTAATAAAACTTTAGGACGAGCCCTTTTTACGTGTCCGAAGGAGGATTTAGGCTTTTTTGTAAAGCTGTAAACTGAGGATTTGTCGTATTTCTTAAACTAGTATATTTAAACTCCGCCTGCATGACGGCTGAGTGAATTAAGTAGTTCAGCTGTTATGTTGCCGGTCCCAAGCCCGGATAAAGGAGGAGGAGGAGTAACAACCTCGTAAAAAAAACAGGGTTCATCTGGCCCCGATAATAGTACCCTGTAAGGGCTCCTGCCTAGAATTAAACACAAATCAAGAAAGCCACCTCATGTTAATTGACTTGCAGAAGGCGTACGATACAGTTCCTGTAAACAAACTCTGGAACGTGTTACGACAGACGAATATTAGTGCCACCTTAATAAAAGCCTCAAGAAATTTGTATGAAGGGTCAACATCACAAATAAAAACTGGAAACAGACTATCAAAGCAAAGCTTCCTGGTTAATAAAGGTCTATGTCAGGGGGGTTGTGAAGCACCGACCTTGTTTAAAATGTATGTGGCAAAAGCATTGAAAGAGTGGAAACGAAAATGCAGAGGCATGGGCGTAGACCTTGGAGAGATTTGCTTGTATACATTACAGTTTGCTGATGACCAGGTTGTTATAGCAAACGATAAAGATGATCTGGAGTACATGGCAAGGAAATTACAAAAAGAATATAGAAAGTAGAGACTAGAAAATATTACAGAAAAAATAAAATACCTGCTAATAGGTACCGAACTATCCAACATCACATTAGAAAATAACGAAATCATCATAGCTTGCAACCATTACACATACCTAGGAATCGTTTTTGACACAAAGGGAAAAGATGATGAAGAAATAAAGAAAAAAATTACACAATCTAGAAAAACAATAGGTTGTCTAAATAGCGTACTGTGGAGTCATGAAATAGGAAAAAGAAGAAAACACAATATCTACGAATCTCTTATTAAAAGCAGTCTATTGTATGGAGCAGAAACTTAGAGAATAACCAAAAACAACAGAAGAAAACTGGAGGCAGTAAAAATGGACGCTTTTAGAAGATCAGTAGAAGTGTTACGCAGAGAGAGAATACGTAATGATGAGATAAGACAGCGAATGGGGGATGACGGCTCTCTAACAACAGACATATAAAGAAAACAGCTGATATGGTACGGACACGTCCAGAGGATGGATAAATCAAGAATCCCAAAAATAGTTATGCAATGGGTACTACCAAACCGCAGAAAGAGAGGAAGACCCAAGAAATCTTAGAGAAAGGGAGTATCGAAGGCGATGAGCGCAAGAGGTCTTAGAGAGGGCCAATGGGATGATAGAGTGTCATGGAAATTAGGCATCGGGGACAACATATATATATATATATATATATATATATATATATATATATATATATATATATATATATATCTTAAACTAAGAGAATCAAAATTTACTTGTCTTTTTTAAGCTTTCTACATCGTGATTAAACGTGATTGAACAACAAACGTTGCGTTCTCCCGCTGTAGTTAAGTGGTGTATCAGTTATTTGTACTAATTTGTACTACGTCTGTTATTTCATCTTTACATCTTTGTAAAAGTTTCTTCTTTTGGAAATCATTTCACAACCCTTCAGTTGTTTAATCGTCACCAATATTTTGGGGACCACTGCACTAAAAATAATTCACGGTGAAATGGATGCGATTCGTCCGCGTGGCTCGCTTGGCTATTAGATCAACTATATAAAGATCTATAGATAATAAAAATTCCATAAAATTAGGACAATTCAAAATATTCAATATTTATTTTTAGATTATTAAAAAACATTAGAGATAAAGTGAATACAGAAAGTGGACTGATTCTACTTTCCAAATGTCTGGATACGTTAAGACAAATATTGCAATATGATCCCAGAAAATTTGTTCGACATTCCGTGTTATTCAATCATGGCGATGATATTATAATAGGTAAGTTTACAAAGTATACAGACATTACCTTTTTAATGGTGTGGTGTGTGGGCGTGTGCTTTTGCGTGTTTGTGTATGTGTGTGTGTGTGTTTGTGTGTGCGTATGTGTGTGTGTAAGTTCTCGTTTTTGAATTCGATGTCAGACGATCTGTTTCATTGTAGTTATAAAAATTATATATTAAAATTATATATTAAAAATATTTAGAACCAACAAGGAATTACATAATATAAGGATACTTTTCACGCTAAGGTGCCTTTCATAGCGACTTTATTACAACACAAGATAGGCAACGGCTAGGAGGTAAATATATAACATAAAGAGAGACAGAAGGAACAAAGCTAGATTTATACATTCACATTACACATTTCATCCTAAATATTTCTTTTAGTCTTTTTTAAATATTCTCAAAAAACGAGACTAAATCACATCTATTAAGCCAACTAATTTCTAACCCGCTTCTTTAGTAAAATAATGTGCTTTGGTGGTACCCGAGATACCAGCATGTCCTTTTACCCAAATGAAATGTTTTTCTTTTATTTCAAATATATTTTACTTGCTTATTTTCTTTATATTGGATACGTAATATACATACTCAAATCGAAGGGGAAACCGGCTTATTCTAGACTGAACGTATATATCCAGAACTTCTTTTTGATATCCTCATAATAATATGTTATACAAAGGCATCACATGTACAGAAAGCAACACAATGACATGTGTAAATAAGTATTTAGTTTATTATAACATATTTCCTATACTTATGATTGATTTAAAATTTAAGGGTTCTTGAAAATGTCCTCTGAAATATTTTTAATATTGTTACAGAACTAAGTCAAACATTATTAGAATGGGAAATATTTACCGAGACAGCCCAAGTTTGTTTACAGGAAATCTTTCCAATATTATCAATACTTTACAAGAACAATGAAGCGATTACTAGGGTGAATAGTTTAACATTAGTAGAAATCTCCATTCAGTATTTACAAAGAATATTCAAACCAAAACCGAATGAGCCAGTCTATGACAATAAAATCATGATATCACTGATAGATTTTATATGGGAAGTGATAGTGAAAAACGAACATTTGAGTGATATGTTTTACAAACGAGATGGAGTCTATCTTATGCTGGATGTGCTCCAGGTATTTTCTTTATTTAACTATTCTAATCTGTAGAGCTAGTTAGGTTTACGTGATATCATTGATTGGCACGCAAAAAATAATAAAGGTTGATTCAGACCAACAATCACGTCACAGTCAAGATTGCTTCTATGGTTTTTCAATGAGGTAATTCCCACGCACTGGCATAATACAGTCACAGTCACGGTACCGTCAAAGTCACTGACTGTGCGGTCGCTCTGCCAGCGATCAAGACTGATTTGATCGTTGACTGGACTGGACTGTCCGGTTGGTGTGGCCTTACTGGCTCAACTAGTCAGAATGGACGTGATTTCTCCCTCGCGGATTTACAAGAGGGTAGGGAAATATTTGGCTAGGGATAAAGAACGTCCAGATTTCAGGCTCTGTAAAGAGTTAGAGTCTATGGGCTTGCTTTAGAAGCCGGGGAAATGCACAAAGCGAAAGTGTGTTCTCTTCTAGTCTCTACCTGTAAACGGCCGGAAAGAACAAAAAAACAAATTTCAAACTTACTATATATTAATTAAATTGTAAATCTACATCTAAGACAACAAAGTATATGATATAAATAATTATTATTTTATCGAAGTTGCGAAGGGAGACGAGAAGAGATTTATCAAGAACTATAAAGGGTGGACAATCTACGATTATTTTGTATTCCCCCTGGTTAGTTTCTATGTTAGTTACCTTAGCGTATTTAGGCCCTAGCTAAAGAATACGCCCTTGCAGTCCACCTGGAACCTAGGAACAGTCTGCTGAGAATACTGTACGCTTTCACGTTTTCCCGAGAGAAGGAAAATCCGGCACTTATACTGCACTATCGTTCCCGTCGGACATAATACCGCGCTAAAGAAGTTGAACACGCGGTTCTGGTCGCCGAACACTACCAGTGCCTAGCGCTTACTGGACACTACTGCCGGTCCAGACCAGACCAATTTCCTTCGTTTTTTATGAAGCAGTACCCTCAATTATACATAGTGATGTGCAAATCAGAACTGACCCGATTCAATGAGCCGAATCTTCAGAAAGATCCAACTGACCCGAGTCTCAAAATTAAATCTAACGGATCACGAGTCAGTAATAAACACATATGACTCGCGCAATGATGTAGTTCTAAGCGAAAGCGAGGAGTCAGCTGAACACTGAATCCCAAGTTCTTATAAACAATAAACAGATCCGAATCTTTTCAGATATTTTGCGGTCTTTCTCGTTTGAAAGGAACGTGAATCGTGAATTGATGTTCATACGTCGGTTGTCATTACGAGGGTATTTAGGACAGCATATTATTTATTTTACTGATAATTATAAGGTGTAAATTATTAATTAAAAACTATACTTATAATATATATTATCGGCAAAAAATATGTATATATTTGTTGGCTTTTCAAGTAATTATTTTGGTTATTATATTCTTTTGTATTTCTTGTATTTTTGGCCACAATGGGATTTGTTCAGAGCAAGTAACATTTATGGTATTCCCCGAAATATTTTATGGCGCGGCGTATTATTCGTTGCATAATAATAATAATTTATTCTGAAGCTATTTTCTTGTGGCATTGTAAATTAATTACTATTAAACTGGGAATAAGCCACAATTAAAGATAAAAATACGTTTATTATAAATTATTAAATAAACGTATTTTTATCTTTAATTGTGGCTTATTCCCAGTTTAATAGTAATTAATAATAATTTAGTAAAAGACCTACAAAATCTTTTGTACTTTTTTCATTAAAGAGACCTTAGAAAAGTATACTTAAACTAGCATGCTTAAAGAAACGTTTAGTTATTGATATATAATTAGCTTAAAAAAAATTAAATTTGAATTTTAAGTTTAATTAGGTAAAATTTAATAGATCATAGTAAATTTTTGGATGTCATAACATTTACTTGTAACATTGAATAACAACTACATAATAACACAATGCTCTTATACTCGATTATCCACCCACACCTACCGCTAAAATTATAGATTTGGTTTGCATATGATCTGTTCTGACCCGTGACCCGACAAAGTGATCCGGTTCTCTTAAGTGAACCGGAACCGGTGACCCGAATCTTAAAGATGACCCGAAATTCCCGTCACTAATTATTACACAGTACCGAGGCGTCGCCTTACCGTCTCTCTCCTCACGTTTTTGCTGATCGAGACGTCTCTCCACGTGCTAAAAATGGATCATGCGGTGGTGTGGCTTGCTAGCTCAGATCAAATCTCGTTGCTGGTATGTCGTTTGGTATTTGTATTATTTTCCAACGAAGGTCTATGTTTTCGTAATTTTTAAACATTCGGAGCGACCTGATATCGAACTTGTGTAATACACGTTAAACTAGGTCGAATTTTCATTCTTTATGTATAAGTTAAACTATGTCCAATTTTTTTATTCTTTATTTAATTTGGAGTATATAATAATTATTTAATTAATTATTATTATTCTTCTCTAGGCTAACTACCCCTTATTTTTTCCTTTATTTTCTTGTTATGTTGACTTGTTACATACCGGGCTAACAGATTCATGATTGCGCTTGGGGGTAAGGTTGTTTCCTTTGGGTAAGGGGCTGATACATTACATATTTGTCTTGATGTATATTTGCCTGAAAACGACACATCCTTCTCACTTTAAATGCTGTTCCAAAGACACATTAAATAAACAAAATGGCCGATGGTTTCCTATACAGCCGAATGTAGACACCTTTCCACTAAGAATGTTTTTTAAATAATCTATTTTTGATACAAATCTTATACCGATTTTGCAGCACAATATCAGTGTTGTACTAACTCCTATGTACCGCTACCAATTTTATTTAATTTGTTTATAGGAATTTCCCGTTCCGATCAAGATAATCACTTTAGGAGCGCTGGTAGATTTATGTGATTTTGGCAAAGGTAAATGTATTCCCTATTTAATAACGTGGAGAAGAACGAATGGAATGACACTCCTTCCCTTGTTAATGGAAATATTTAGAATGGGAAATATGTATTTGGACGTAAAAACGGGACGTCGTGGAGAAATAGCAGGTAAAAATGTTTATGAATGGTGGACGAGTTCGTTTCAAAACTAGCTTTAGTTTGGCTTAAATTTATAACATTCTACGACGTCTTCCGATAACCAGTTGACATACCTATATCTCTAACTGTTCACGAATCTTCATCTATATTGCTCCCTACCTTCTCTTCAATTTCTTCTTGATGTTTCACATCTACAGATAACCGTACTATATCAGTTGCTCTGTCCTACCGTCGCCAACAACTGTAGGAGAAGGGGAGGCACATGTGGACAGAGGCACAAGTGGACAGTTGATTTTTTCCGACTAGATTTCTTTTCGAGTGGTTCTAACTCACTCTCCTAGGTGGCACTGGTGATATAGTTCTAAGCCAAGAAATAAATTCAATGTCAGTTGCCATTTGTTTGTGTCACGAGGTTGTGTTACTTTTGCCGCGTAAAAATAAATACCTAAACGGTTTTTTTAGAGATTGTAATATTATTTAGTGACATTCTGTGTTTCCTTGTAAAGTACATCGTATTTTGAATATTGTCATTATTTGATATCAGGTAAGTTTGTACAGTTTTGTTCTAGTCATAACCTAAATCCAATAACCGGTTTTTTTGAAAAACTTTACCCTTTGGGGTACAAGTCAACAGTGTCCACTTGTACCCCAAAGGTTTTTTTAACACAAAAGAACCTAAAATATCATTTTTTGCCTTACAGTTCGAAATTATGATGAGAACCTACATCAGGAATACTGATAGAAGTAATATTCCTAAAAACGTAGTAGTTCAGGCCATTATATAAAAAATGGTAACCGATCAATCAGAAACGTAGCGGAGAGATATGGATTGAAGAAGTCCATGTTATATAAAAGATTAAAAAACTGAAAAAAAATACAAATGATAAAGAAATATCCGAAATAAAGTTTTCATCAAAATATACAACACAGCAGATATGTTTAATAGTAATATTTTAATATTTTAATAGTAACATTTTAATAGTAATATTTAATAATAATTTTTAATAGTAATAATAGTCGATCGGATAGCCAAGCGAGCTGGCGGCAATCTGCGGCTTAGTCTAGAATATGCTGGTATCTAATCGGCCTTTGGTGGAGCAGTACGGCAAGAGATAAGGGCTTGTGGTTCGGTGATACTCCTCCATAGATCCCTACCGGAAGGGCGTGTGCCGCCTAAATACCGGGTATATATATATATATATATATATATATATATATATATATATATATATATATATATATATATACCTAGATAGATATTTTTAATTAAAGAAGAGGACAGTCTAATAAATTATATTCTTCAATCTTCGAAGTTACAATATGGATTAACCTACTTTCAAATTCGAACATTCGCATACGAGCATGCTCTGAAGCTTGAAAAAATGTGCCAAAGTCATGGTCAGAAAATCATTTTGCTGGAATTGGGTGGATGCAAGGTTTCATAAAGCGTCACAATAATTTATCTTTAAGAAACTGGAGTATACGAGTAAAGCCAGAAACATCAGTTTTAATAAAATTAACGTCGACATGTTTTTTGATAACATAGAGACTGTTTACAGAATGTACAAATTTACTAATGATAGAATTGTGAACATAGATGAAAGCGGAGTGAACAAAGTTCTGCAAATGCCAAAAGTGATTGCAAATAAGGGCTGTAAGCTACTGGGACAAGCAGTTGGAGCAGAGAGAGTTGAGCAAGGTGGGAATGCTATTCCACCTGTTTATATCTTCCCACGAGTGTGATTTAAAGAGTCATCCTGATTGGAGCTTTAGAAGGCAGCATTGGTATTACTTCTCCAAATGGTTGGATGACCAACGAGGGATTCCTCGAAGTTGTAAAGCATATTAAAAAAACGTGCATGTTTCTAAGGAAAATCCTGCGATAATACTTTTTGATAACCATAATACACATGTAACGTTAGATGTTATATTGTATTGCAGGGAAAATGATTTGGTACTCTCAACGTTTCCTCCACACACAACACATTGTTTGCAGCCTCTAGATGTGTGTGTGTGTGTGTGTATGTGTGTGTGTGTATGTGTGTGTGCGTGTGTGTGTATTTGGCCCTTTTAAGGGTCGTTGTCGTGCAGTATTCAACTTATGGATGTCTACACATCCGGGAAAAGCTATAAAGTCCCGTAGAAAATATTGTCTTATCCATATGTGCCTTTCTTAGGGGCACATGTGGCCTAATTACGTCTACTTGGAATTTAATGCACGTGCCCTAAATAATTTAATTACTGCCAAATTTAAATGTACTGAAGGAACTCCCAAATATGTGAATCTTACATTGAAGAAGCCGATACTTTACAATGAATCTCGTTTTGCGGTAGGTATAAATTTTTTTAAATTTATCTACATATGCCCCCCTCTCTAGGAAATATTTTTAATAAATCATCCCAAATTTTGGCATATGCAGATGATGTGGACCTAGTTGCCCGCACAACACGCAAGCTAGAAGAAATGTATACCAACTTCTCAAATGCCTCAAAATCTATGGACCTGCAAGAAAATGAGGAGAAAACTAAGATGATGGCATCAACACCCAACAATAGAGTCAGGAACATCGGTCCCCAATTCACGGTTGATAACTCTACCTTTAAAATAGTGAACAAATTCACATACTTAGGCTCCCTGATCACCAAAGAGAACGCCATAACGGAAGAAATCAAGCGAAGGATAATAATGGCAAACAGATGCTATTTTGGACTGAGTAGACATATGAGAAGTAGAAACTTAAGCCAAAAAACAAAAATAACCATATGCAAAACCCTTATACAGCCAGTGTTGACATATGGATCGGACACATGGACCATCTCCAAGGCAGACGAAGACCTTCTGCTTATATTTGAACGAAGGATCCTGAGAGGAATATTTAGTGGCATCTGTGAAAATGGTGTTTGGAGAAATAGATACAACTATGAGGTATACCACAGATATAAACAAATATTTGGTGGTAAAGACGTAGTATCTCTTATAAGAATAGGAAGACTAAGATGGGCAGGACATCTGGCAAGATCACAGCAGAACAACCCTCCTAGAAGAATCCTTATGTCACAACCCGTGGGAAGTAGAAAAAGGGGTAGGCCAAAACTCAGATGGAAGGATGGTGTAGATGAGGATGGTAGAAAGATAGGCGCAGCAAACTGGCAACAGTTGGCAATGGATAGGACTGCCTGGCGTAATAGACTTGGGAAGGTCGAGGCTCTTTCATAGGGCTGTAGCACCATTGGTGATAATGGTAATGCCCCCCTCTCCCCTATTTTCTACCTTATTTATCAGTGATATTATTCTCACACCCTGAATGGTTCTATTTTGATTGCCTAACTCAAAACTGACAAAAATTGATAAGGATAGATAGATAAAAGCATTGGGAATTGTTCTCAGTTTATCTGTAACAATTTCTTTTCTTCTTTTGTTTCTGCAGTGCATTTGTTAAAATGGCATCAACCGGACCGAACCGTATGGAAAGGAACTGAGCCGAACGGAACAAAACGAAACGAAATAGAGCAATGCGAAATGAAACAGAACGTAATCGACCCAAACTGCACGGAATGGTGCTAAACGGAGCGAAATGAAACGAAACCGAGCGGTACGGAGCAGAGCGGATCGTAACCACACCGACCCGAACAGAATTGAACGGAGCGGAACCGAACCGAAAGGATTCGAGTCGTACGGAACCAAATTAAACCGGTCCGAACTTACCTGAAACTAACGAAGCGGTACAGGGCGGAATCTAACTGAGAGGAACGAAGTCGAGCGGAATGGAACGTAGCGAAATAGAACTAGATCCAATCGTCTAGAGACGTTCGTTTCCACTGCCTCTTGCAAAAATTCCTTTACAAGATAGAACGTTTTATCCAACAAATATTTTTGAAGTCGTTTTTGAAATTATTTTTGACTATTAAATTTTTTAATGACGACGGTAAGTTATTGTAAAGAGAGGACAGCATAGTAAAACTAATATATTAAATTTCGTTAAATTGAATTCTAAATGGATCTATTTTTTTATCATACCGACTTATTTACATACACACTTTAATTGTCACTGCGGAAATAATCCAAATAATTCCTTTTTTTATACGAAAGCTTTAAAAAAATATTGTAACAGTATTTTTACTCCTTTAAGTTTATTTTTCTACACTATTTTTGTACCACTTTGACCTTTTCCAGTGTTTTTGAAGCTATTTTCTTGTGGCATTGTAAATTAATTACTATTTATAACTGGGAATAAGCCACAATTAAAGATAAAAAATACGTTTATTGACGTTTCAATTTCCAATTCGGAAATCGTTCTTAAAATACAAACAGTAAATTAAACAAATTTTGTTTTTTGTTACATAGTGAAAAAATTCTTCTAATAATTTAATTTTATCTGACTCATTTATATTGACAATTCAGACATACATTATGCATTTTAAAGTAGACGACTTTAAAATGATATTGCTAATATTGTTGAGTTGCGCTCCTGGGACGACTTTACTATAAGATAGTTCATTCGATTACATGAAATCAACTTTAACTTGAGAATATCCGTCAGAAAAAATCATAGCATGTAATTTGTCTTTAAAAAGACAAACACATGACATGATGACAGTAAAATTCTCCTGTTAGTGATTCCATAGTAAATTATGAGGGAAAAACCAGGAAAAAAACCTCATAATACTATCCCGACATTGTAAGTATTTGTTCGTGAATTTAGTTTACCTTCAATAAACATCAAAATTCTGATTTTATATGTTACGTTATTTAAAAAAACATAAATGATGTATCCTCTATATGTTACTGACTTACTAATACTGGTATTTTCTTATTAATAACTTCCTCTTTCGTGGAAAAAAACAACAAACGTGTTTGTTGTTTTGAATGTTGTTGAAATGTTGAATTTATTTCCTATCCTTTTAAGTTTTTCTGATAATCCTTTTATGTACGGTATTGTTATTTTCCTTATATTATTCCTTGTGTATGCTGTAGGATCTCGTTCTAAGTTGTTCTGTTCTATTCGATCGATTGTTGAAAATTCCTTATTTATAAACGATAAAGGATAATCATTTTTTAATAAAACAGATGTTAACAAATGTTTCTCCTCCAAGAACGAATTTTCGTTAGAGCAAGTAATTTTGGCTCTATCGTATAAGGATTTAATTATTCCCTTTTTTACATTAATATTATGATTTGATTTGAAATTTAAATATCTATTGGTGTGTGTTGGTTTTCTATACACCTGAGTCTCATATCCAGTATCATTCTTAGAGATTAAAACATCCAGGAAAGGTAGCGTGTTATTATATTCCTTTTCCATGGTAAATGTTATTGTCTCTTCTTTATCGTTTATATCATTTAGGAATGTGTCCAACAACTCTGATCCATGAGGCCATATTGAGAATACATCATCTACATACCTCCACCATACTGTGGGTTTGAAATTTTGTTTAGAAATGATATTTGTTTCAAAATCTTCCATAAATATATCGGCTAAGAATGGAGATAAACTAGAGCCCATTGCTAGAACCCAAAATTACTTGCTCTAACGAAAATTCGTTCTTGGAGGAGAAACATTTGTTAACATCTGTTTTATTAAAAAATGATTATCCTTTATCGTTTATAAATAAGGAATTTTCAACAATCGATCGAATAGAACAGAACAACTTAGAACGAGATCCTACAGCATACACAAGGAATAATATGAGGAAAATAACAATACCGTACATAAAAGGATTATCAAAAAAACTTAAAAGGATAGGAAATAAATTCAACATTTCAACAACATTCAAAACAACAAACACGTTGAGATCTATTTTGTCCAAAACCAAACCTAACAATGAACAAGAAAGGACAAAGAATTGCATTTATAAAATACCTTGTGAATGCGATCAGTTTTATTTAGGTGAATCATCGAGGCCATTAAATGTTAGAATAAGTGAACATCAATCTTATATTAAAAATAGAGAATTTGATAGATCTCAAATATGTAAACACGCATGGGATAATGAACATAGGGTTCAATGGAATAATTCAAATATAGTCCTAAAAGAAACGGATGGTAAAAAAAGAAAAATCAAAGAAGCGGCTCTAATTATGCTAAATGAGGCCAATTGTGTCGCAAATTCCTCGGCAGAATGTAGTAGGATCTGGTTTGATGTTTGTTGAAGATAAACAAAATTCACGAACAAATACTTACAATGTCGGGATAGTATATTATGAGGTTTTTTTCCTGGTTTTTCCCTCATAATTTACTATGGAATCACTAACAGGAGAATTTTACTGTCATCATGTCATGTGTTTGTCTTTTTAAAGACAAATTACATGCTATGATTTTTTCTGATGGATATTCTCAAGTTTAAGTTGATTTCATGTAATCGAATGAACTATCTTATAAGTAACGTCGTCCCAGGAGCGCAACTCAACAATATTGGCAATATCATTTTAAAGTCGTCTACTTTAAAATGCATAATGTATGTCTGAATTGTCAATATAAATGAGTCAGATAAAATTAAATTATTAGAAGAATTTTTTCACTATGTAACAAAAAACAAAATTTGTTTAATTTACTGTTTGTATTTTGAGAACGATTTCCGAATTGGAAATTGAAACGTCAATAAACGTATTTTTTATCTTTAATTGTGGCTTATTCCCAGTTATAAATAGTAATTAATTTTCCAGTGTTGTTTACGGTCAGTATTAATTTTTTCTTATACTACTTTCACCTTTTATTCTGAAATAGTTTGGACGATAGTATATTGGTATTTTAATGTGATTTTTATAGATGAAAAACATCCCCTGATGGGCACAGATCAGTACAATGCCACGTTCATAGAAAATAAGTTAGACGCTAGCCCAGCAATGACGGACATGTTTGCTAGCTGCAGGCCTAAAATATATGCCCTTTTAACTTTGATTCAAGACAGATACAAAGATATTTTGGACGTTGCTAATGAAGCCTACAAAACGTGGGATGATAACTTGCAAGCAAAAGATAAGGTTTGTGATTTACATGATATTTATAAATGTACAGTGAAGATCAAAGTTATGGAATCAATTCATTTTTTCGAGAATCTATTTTTTCCAGGTTACTTTACTATTAGCTGAAAACTTTCTAGGCCTAAAGTTGGGTGAGATGTGGGAGGAGTTAAAACTAAAATTTGAATTAATGAAATTTGAGCCATTACCAATAGATGCGTATATTATAAATTCTTTAGTTGAAAGGACTCACCAATGGGGAGCACACTTGAAAGAAGTTCAGATCGATATATTAAAACACGAACTAGCAGATGTAAGAACTCACAATTTTACTTATTTTGGTTTTTTTTATTTTAATTTGATATTTATTTTTAGACATTCCATCATCATCATCACTGGTTCGACAACCCTTTTTGGGTCTTGGCCTGTTCAAGGATTCTTCTCCATTCTGACCTGTTTCGTGCTTTTTTTTCCAGTTTTTAATTTTTAATGTTCTTATATCATTTTCTATTTGTTATACGTATCTCAGCTTCGCTCTTCCTCTTGTTCTTTTTCCTACTGGCACTTGTTTGAATATTTTGTTTGGTATTTCGCCTTCTTCCATTCTTTCCACATGTCCAATCCAATGTAGCCTTCCTATTTTAATGAATGTTATGATATCCGGATCCTGGTATATGTTGTATAGTTCAAAGTTATATCTTCTCCGCCAAATCCCGTTTTCTTTTGTGCCCTTATATATGTGTCGCAAGATTTTTCTTTCAAAGGTGGCTAATAACGTTTCCTCCCTTTTAGAGAGTGTCCAGGTTTCTGAACCGTATGTGAGTACCGGTCTTATTAAGGTTTTGTATATTTGGCATTTTGTTTTTCTGGAGACGTTATCTGATCTTAGTTGCCTAATTAAGTCATGGTAACTTTTATTGGCAATAAATATTCTCCTCTTCACTTCCTCTGCAACGTTGTTATCAGACGTAACTAGGGATCCTAATTATGTAAAGTTTTTTTTAGACATTTTAGATATTTTTAGACATTGTGAATGGACAATTTCCTTTAGTCACTCTTTAAATATTTTACAAATCCTGATGTTTAGGAGATGAGTCAATACTGACAATCTTAAGTAGCTTTTATTGGTGTTAAGGATTAGAATAATAATTATCAACGGTTTCCTCGCTATTTGATTTATATCATTCCATATACCTACTATTAACATTTTCGTTAACAGTATATATGGCTAATTATTAATGCCTTTTTTGACCCCTTACTGGAAGTTTTTTTAATTTTTTGTAAAAAAAATCTATGATTACAAACTGTCTTGTGACTTCAAGATTACGGTGATAATATAAAAAAATCCTACTTGGTTAGTTTTTTTATTTTTTTTGCATTAAAATGCACACTATGCATTAAAATAAGGTTCAACAAATAAAATTAATAAAAAAATGACGTTTACTACTTTCTAATTATAATATCTAATTATAATATGTAATTAATCAGTGTGAAAGTTGTAAAAACACTTTCTATCTTTGTTTAAGCAAAGAAAAACATTACACTTATCGCATTTTATGAAGCTTTTTGAACCACAGGGATATTTGCATCTTTGCCTTTCACTACACCATAATGAAAGATTACCATATCCATCTGTTCGTACATCTTGCATTGCAATATCGGTGGCAGACCCCTTCTTTTCTTGTTTTGTAAATTTACTACAACTCCACACGACCCTTTTTCTAGTAAAACCAGCTTTATTAACTTTGCATAAATACTCTGCTACAGCCATCTTGAAATCTGTCAGAGCTAAATTACTATGCTCATTGTCGCTTCTTCTACAAAAAATCCACGCATTGACAGTCATCAAATCGATAATGTATAAAAATATACGCATGTACTATTTTTTGGATCTGAGTTTGATCCTTTAATACCCCAACATTAAATCGAAGAGATCTACTTCCCTCATATACTTGTTGTAGATCGTTACAGCTTTTGGACATGGAACCATTATATGTCTTATCCTTTTTCGAAAACCTTTTAACTTCAACTGTTGGCATACTCCCAGCATATGTTGATAAAATGTTTACTAATTTGTTGTCATACCATGTAACACCAGATATTTTTGTACCATCAATTGTGGCGACATTCTCTATCATAGCTCCTCGGCCTTTCTTTTTTAATTCAGCCTATTTTGGCATATTACTGTTTGGCACTGTGTTTATTCTAACTGTTCCTAGTGGTAACATACCCTGTTTCGTTAGATAAATTTGCAATGGAAAGCTGTTGAACCACTTATCAAAGAATATTTTGTAATTTATAAGTCTTGGTACTGTTTGTGTTAGCCGAAGAACCACATTTGAACTTACTCCTAAATCAGGAAAACCATCGGAAACATTAGTTTGGCTTTCTACAAAAATTTCATAACCGTAGAAAAATCCGCTGACACCACTAAGAACAAACGCCTTATATCCCCATTTGTAGGGTTTTTGCGAATTATATTGTTTTATAGATGGACGCGCCTTTGTTTGAATTATCTGCTCATCTATGGCTAAAAATTCCTCTTTCGGAACTTTGGGTAACTGATTCCTTAGTTTATTTAGTAGCAGTCGGATTTTCAACAGTTTATCATGACCAGGATTACCGACAGCAATAGCATCGTTATTACAGAAATAGCAACGTTTTATTTCTTGCATGACATAACATCTGAGATCAATGGATGATTCAGGCTGTAGTTCCAATAACTTCTAGCGCTTGGCAATTGCACTTCTTCTTCTTCTTACGGTGCCTATCCGTTCCGGATGTTGGCGATCAACAGGGCTATCCTAACTTTGCTTGCTGCTATTCTGAATAGTCCGGTTGTCGATGTATTAAACCACTTTCTCAGGTTTTGAAGCCAAGATATTCTTCTTCTCCCTGGTCCTCTCTTTCCAAATACCTTGCCCTGATGAATGAGTTGCAACAAGCCGTATCACTGTTCATTCTTCATATCATGGCCAAGATAATATAGTTTGCGCTCTTTGATGGTGTTAATAATCTCGCATTCCTTGCCTATTCTACGGCAACATTAGGATCTCAACATTAGTCATACGATACACCCATGAAATTCTTAAGATACGTCTGTAACACCACATCTCGAATGCCTCGAGTTTTCTTAAGGAAGCTTCGGAAAGTGTCCAGGCCTTCGTATAATAAGGTAGAAAATACATAGCATCTAATGAGAGAGATTTTGGTAGCAAGTGGTAAATCATGACTTCTGAAAAGAGACTTCATTATTATGAACGCTGATCTCGCTTTTCCTATGCGTTGTTTTATTTCACTGGAGTGATCCCATTGGCTGTTAATGTTGGTACCAAGGTATGTGTAGCTGTCCACTCTGTAAATTGGATGTTGGTTAACCAAAAGCTGTGTATTTAATATTTCGCGCTTACTGACTACCATGTACTTTGTTTTCTTCGTATTAAGATCAAGTCCGTGTTCTCTACTTATATCTGATATACGCGATATTATTCTTTGCAAACCGTCCAGACTATCTGCAAAAACTACTGCGTCGTCGGCATATCTAATGTTGTTTAGACGCATTCCGTTGACTAATACGCCTTCTTGTAGTTCTCCCAGCGCTTGCTCGAAGATATATTAAGAGTATATATTAAATAACACCGGGGACAGAATGTATCCTTGCCTCTATCTATGGAGACTGCCTCTGTCAATTGATCATCCACTTTAATATTGGCTGTTTGGTTGTAATATAAATTATAGATGATTCTCAAGTCCCTATCATCTAACCCCACTTCTTTCAAGATGTTTATAAGTTTATCATGTTTTACTCTATCAAATGCCTTTTTGTAGTCGATAAAACAAATATAAACATCGCAGTTAACATCCCTGCATCTTTGCATAAACACTTGGACAGCGAATAGAGCCTCTCGGGTGCCTAAGGAATCGCGGAACCCAAACTGCGTCCATGATACTTGTTCTTCGCATTTATATATTCTGCCGTGTATCACTTTCAAGAACGTTTTAAGTAAGTGGCTTATTAGGCTCATTGTTCTGTAGTCTTCGCATGTCTTGGCATTTACTTTTTTTGAAATGGTCACGAAGGTCGACTTTTTTGTCAAAAAGCATTTTCCTCAAGACCCTTCTCATGTAAGTATGTCACCAAATACATACGTAATATTCTTTTTTAGAATCTCTTAGATGAATTAAACACATATCAACAAATTAAAGACGCCCGCATATCCGAAGCTCTAGAAAGCATGAAAGAAGCGAAATACCTGGCTAGATGTACTGAACGTATATTCCGAATTGCTCAGACTTATAAGCAAGCAGCACAAGCTGATAGATCCGTCGAAGAAATAGCACACGGACCGCTGCTTCATAAAACATTTTTGGGTAATTCACGTATTACTGTAAGTATCTCATTTAAGAGTTTATATTCTTCTTTATTAATCTTGTTTTTTTATTATTCTAATAACGGATGTTGTCATAGATAACGTACAACCTCATTAAGCAGAGACCTGCATATAGCAGTGAGCGTTTAGCGGAGGCCTATTTCGATCATATATGTTACTTTTCACATAAAATCTCATTTAATGTGTCATTGACTTGATTATTGATATTTAAGCGTAAATCCAATTTTTCTGTATCATCGTTTTTATTTAGATGAATAAGGCTCCTTTGGCACACTGTTATGTTTAGTTTTACTATGTCATCACTTTCTATTTGTTAAACTCTCTTACGTGACATCTCAAACGTCGCAAATGGACCAATAGAGATAAAGATACACGTATAGTGCCCTTATTGCATGCTGTTACCTTATTTTCTATATCGTTTTATTCTATTAATTAAATAATTTTGTATGGCTCTTAATTGAGTTTAACTGATTTAGATATATATTTGCACTGATTTATGTCGAGCAGTGGATATTTAAAAGAAGCGTTTAAGAAGAAACGCCATAAGACGAACAGAAGAGAAAGACGAAACCCTGCGAGACAAAAAAAGAAGAAGACTTGACAGACGAAAGGTTATGGCTTTACTTTTCGCAGATTTTTAGATGATGTAAACTTAAGGTTTTTATGGTAATGTTTAATTTTTCTTGGTCATCGTATTCTATTCGTAAAATCCTGTCATATGACATATCGCACGTTCCTGTATGTTAAGTTGTTTAGGCACTATAAGCTTAAGGTCCTTTTGACAATTCACCCTCTGACCACAATCCTTTATTATTAACTTCTTAAGCTACCCTTTTTCCAACGACCCCTCATACGTCACGATCCAACTAGCCGTTCTACTGCAACAACAACACGATCAAAAAAATGTTTATACCTGTTCTCTCATCTAATATCAATTGTCCATTAGCCAAGGTTAGCATGTCCTCCTACGACTATATAAAGTACGTCCAAGATGAATGCTGGTTTTCGGAGTCAGCCGGCGCCTATCCTCTCCGAGGCGGTGTACAAATATTCCTTCGTATTTAGGAGGGCCTGGTCAAAATGCAACATCGCACTGACAACCTGTGCGCGGGTTTGCGCATTTTGAATTCCACCTCGAGAATGTTTATCAAAATTCGAATTAGGTACTTTAAATAAACAACATATTACAAACACACGTACATATCGTATAGCATATAACTATAATTAGAAAAATATGTTTTAGCCTGTCTTTAAGCAATTAGTGACAGTAACTGACGAAAAAGTTGTCAGAGAAGATTCCAGCCAACTTGTATCTCCAAGGGAGTCCGCACATTTGATGAATTATGACGAAAAATCTACTTCTGTAATGGTTCTACCTCAAAAACAATTTAGCTTTTATTAAATATTTTAACAACTGTTTAATTATACTCATATTTTTAACAATATTGTTTTAATTGATTCATTAATCAAGTCAGTGGGAAAAGAAATAGATAAAAGATAAGAAATAGATAAAGAATTCACTGTTTAAAGATCTTCTTGAATACAGTTTGATATGTTAGTATAAATAAATAAAATATCGAGAATAAAATTCCTCGTAATACTTTTTAAAATAACAACCTATAACAAATGTGGTGTTCTCTTTTAGTAGTTAAGTAACCTTTTTTCATCATTGGCCTAATGATGTGTTCTGTAAAGTAAGCAAACTATTTACTAAGTACACAAACAATCTAAGGAAACAAGTTCAGACAAAGAAATAAAATGAAAAACTTAAAACAAAGTTAACCTTTATTATTTTGTAAGGAACAAAAAGATACTCAAATATTTTACGTTAAAATGTTACGTCATCCCAGAAAAAAGTAAACAAGTCTGTATTTATGCCTTTAAATTACAAATGAGAAATGCTTATACGAAACTAAAATTAAAATCACATGGTGAAGAAAACAAATATTTTATATCTTGGCATTAGATTATAAATGAGAAATAGATGAAAATTATACTCTATCCCAAACTTTGAAATTCGTTCACAAAAAAAATACCTTTGTATATTAGGTAGAAAGTAGATTTTTATTAAAAGATCAATAATAAATCACTTCACTGCTATTTAGCTCATAGATAATCTTCACTGTTCAATAAAAAAGGTGGGTACAACCTGAATTATGCAAATGCTTGTGACGTGTAGAAAAAATATAAGTTTTTTTACCGTCTAGGTACTCGGGCTGCAGAAACGTTGAATCTATCTTAGCAAGAACATAATATCCATCATAAAAACATATAGGATTGGGCAGCTAAGCAAACGGGATATTCTTCGAATTGTTACTTTTAGACCACATACAATTAATCAATAAATAAATAGCTATTTAGAAAACATCGTTTCAATAAACATTCTAGCAACTATTAGGGCTCCCGGTAAGGGTCTAAAATAAATATTTGGGTGAAAATATATAAGAGACAAGGAATTTTTTGGCTTACCTCGTCGATAGACCACTCAACATAATTTTCGTCCTGTTTGTTGGACGTTTAAAGAGGGAAAGGGGCACTGAATTGCCGTGGATTTACGAACGCTCTAATTTTGAGGCGGCCAAGGCCGGAACCATTAGGACTACAGTTTGATTCTTGGGGTAGGTTAGATACTTCCGCTCTCGATAGATAGCGTGAGCAACATTATTTTGAATATTTACTCGGAATTATAATAATAAATTTTTTGAAACGGTTACAGTTCAAACTGACCCTGATTTACAACGTTCTAGCAACTGCCTACCACTTGAAGATTTTTTGGCGTGCTTCCTGCACAAGAATTTTTTTTCTTAAAAGAGTTTATTTTATCATTAGCTGTGAATCATTTTCTCCCTGAAAACTCATTTTGAGCATGTTCTCTCTCTCCAATGGCACTACAGCCCAAATCGAGCCTTGGCCTTCTCCAAACTATGCCTCCAACCTTGTTGGTCCCACGCCGATTTTCTCCAGGTTCTCACGTCTATCAAAACGTCAATACTGACAACAATTTTTCATCACAGAACAAGTTTATCATGTCACTATTGTTTTCAGTTAGAAGCAGTAACATTTCTGACCTCAGTTCGAAGAGAACGATAAAAATGTTTTCCAGATAATCATCTCACTTATGCATGCAAGACAAGAGTTTTGAACTGGCCACTCATCTTCAGACATCAAATAGAATAATCTTGAATTATGGGCACTAGCCTTTATGAAGTTAATAACTTTCACTGCATCTGATAAAACAAAGGTCAGATGTTCCGGCATGAATTTAGCAGCTAATTTAATTTTCTTGATCTGGGCCTAAAACAATAGACTTGGACTAATTCACACCTCTCCTCAACAACCTTTTAGTTTTATGAAAATGAAAACTAATTTGGCGTCGATATGGGGCGCCAAATTGGTGTAACGTACTATAAACCTGGATAGGTCAAACGAGGGCAAAGTAGTTTTTACGTTACCCAAAATAGTACTCAACTTCTGGGCTTCTTTTTTACCCTTCAGATCTATAGTACGTTACGGTACTTCCGATTTTTGTAACCACAGTCTGTTTTCTATATTAGTCTTACTTACGTGGCTGTGCCGTATGGTTGGTCATAAGTAGCAGCCTGTAGTTCGTAGCCCGTTTTGACTACGCTAGTCGAAAATGCGCAACTAGAGTATCTATGAAAACTGTGGAAAAAGAAATACTAGCCAACTTAAGCCAAAGTAAATATAGAACAAAAGGCAAAATGAAAGAATAGTCCCCATTCACACAAAACAGTTGACAAAGTTGAGCCCCTAGATGCCTTTGAAGTTAGCATATCCATTTTATAAGGGCGAACTCAGACCAACACTATAATTTATTGCTAATTTGCTAATAACTATGGGAATAATAGGTACATGTGAATACAAACTCAATCACTATAAATACGTTTTACCTCTGCTGCGGTTGAGATACTGGGTATTAGATACTTATGATCAATGTTATGTTTTTAAGGAGTAATGATGTATTCAGTAATTAATACCAGTAAATACACGGTATTGATGGAGTTCAATGCCCACAATGCTTTTTATTGCTTCACTCTTTTACAAAACACACAAATTATTGTAGCTTCATACTTAAGCTATAACAGCCATAGTTTCTCGGAAGCTACAGTACTCATTGTTTCTCGAAAGATGGTGAAGAACTACAGCTATAACTTAACAATGAAATATGTAGTTATCTTAAAAGTAGTTTAATGCTAATTTTACTACATGCACCAGAATATATGAAAAGCGGATAAAGATGTAGTTTTTGTTCTGACCCGGGCAACCATCAGAGAAAAACCATATTTTATCCATTTTACAGAGTATATGATATTTATTTCAGATAATGAAATATCTTGAAAGTTATTTCATTTTGGCCACGTTTAGCCATTCCTTCTTTTACAAACAACTTTATTTGTCGTCAAATTTGGTAGCGGAAGACTTTGCATAAAGTCAAAGGTTATTGCAGATACATTTTACTATGCTGACATTTATGTTTAATTTTTCGTTTTATATCATAAAGTGATCAAGGTTTCTCACTTGAAGAAGTTCCTTTTTTGTTGATTCATCGATATTCGGTAGTTTGAGTTGGCTTTCAGTTTCATCACATAATTTAAAAGTGTTACATCTGGGGTAAGAAAAAGATATATTAAATCGAGTTTGAAATATGTATGAAATATGACTGTGGGCGAAGTCCTTTAAAGGCTCTATACATATTTTTTACATTTAAGTCTGATGGTAGATAAATTTTCTTTTTCTCCAATCCAAATTCGGCCTTATAAAATGGATATGCTCACTTTAGAGACATAGTCCCTAGTTTGAAATAAAACATTCAGTAGACACTGTATTATTTTTGTACCTAATAATAAAACAAGTATGATTAATGAAAATGATTTATTTATAAATAAGTAAATACATACTTACAATCTTAGAGGAAAATTACATTTACTTATTATTATTATAAAGAAATAATGTACCGTTCATTGGACATGGTAATAAATTGTTGAATAATATAATCTATTAATATTAATGTAAACAATGTAAACAAATATCCCTTTGCTCGGCACACTTCAAATGAAGATGACAAGTGGAAATCATGAAAGCAATTGGTGACAAATTATCCTTATATAAATTAAAATTGATAATAGAATGATGTAAAGTATCCAACAAGGTTTTTTTTTTAATGTATAGGGCATTACATTTAATTATCAAAATATAAGCTTGAGGATGTATCCTAATAATCAAAACATCGCTTAATTCAATTCAATGTCAAATAAACAATTTAAACATTTAGCAAACCTCTTGCGCGACCCTGTAGAATCAGCAGAAGTTAGGTGTCATAGATTTCATATGTAACAGCAACTTTTGATATTAAGATATATTATTAGTATTTTGAAACGTGAGTAGAGTTTAGATACCGTCTCTGGTTTACGCCGAAGAACTGACTCCGGTTACGATGTATTGTTAAGTTTATCAATAAAGAAAGAAAAAGTACAATCTTGATTTTTCGAAGTGAAACATAGATAACCGATTGAGCTAGCCGGGTGAGTGCCCAACACCACACTGAACATGACAGGAGATTCTTAACCTAATGGACCAGGGAAGAATCTTTAAAATTACTGCCTTAAATATTTATATCCGGAATAAAATCATGCGAGCTAAATGATTGTATGCCAGAACGTACCGAAATGGAAACTTTCGATACATTTAATACACACAAAATAATAAAACAGGCAACTGGTTTAAGCAAGGGTAGTAGAAACTTAACAGACAGTTATAGAACATAATTAAAAATAGAGAAGATTTTAAAGAAATCGAATTATTTAAATCAACAAAGAAGCAGAACCTTTGTTATCATTTGGGAGACGAACTCAAACATTTATTGAAATTAGTCATATAAGGAAATGTCTCTCGCCTAGACGTTAATCACATTGAAATATTAAAGAATTAAAGTGCTTCTAGAAGATTTGGTTCCACTTAATGAAGAAATGGATGACGCAGCACGGACTGATACTTCCGGTAGAGAAAACCGAAGCCATCATTCTGAAGGGGAAAAGGAGCAGACAACGTGTTAAATTACAATGTGCACTGTAACTGTGCAATGTAACACCCAAGAAACAAGTAAAGTACCTAGGAGTGACATTGCACCAGAATGGAAAATGGTGGGAGCACGTGCGGGAGGTGGCCCGGAAGACTGCGAATAGTGCGGCTGCGTTGGGAAGGGTGATGCCCAACATTGGGAGACCCAAATCCGAAAGGAGAGGGTCCTATACGGTGTTGCACAGTCGATTGCCCTTTACGTGGCACCAGTCTGGAGCGGGGCAGTAGAGATAACGGCCTATAGGAGGCTCATGACATGAGTGGGCAGAACAAGTTTGTTGCTAGTGGCATGCGCCTACAGGACTATGTCTGCGGCAGCCTTGTGGACCATGTGGCTGT